ACAAGAATACTCTTACGAAATAGTACATAGAAAAGGCCAAAAGATGGCACATGTCGACGCTTTGAGCAGATATGTAATGACAATAACTACAGATTTTAGGGACAACCAAGGATTAATTAAACAAATAGAAGCTGCGCAAGCCAAGGATGAACATTTAAATGCCATACGGAAAATTCTTGATACTGAGGATACTTTTGATAATTATTTTATGAAAAATGGTATTGTGTATCGTTACGATCAAGGGATAGAATTGTTAGTTGTGCCCAAAGGAATGCAGTCAGACATAATTAGGAGAGCACACGAAGTAGGACATTTTGCTGTAGCAAAGACTGAAGAATTAATCCGTAGAGAATTTTTCATTTTAAAGTTGACAGAAAAAATAAAAAACTGCATAGGAAATTGGGTTGGTGCTCAAATGGGGTGAGTATGCGCAACTTAGAGCTCTTCGGAGTCTTATAGCCTCTGCCATCCAACTCCCACTCGCACCTCCAAGCAGGTGAGCACCGGCAAACCAGGTAACTGGGCTGACGCGAGGGGGGCTCTGACGACACGGCCATGGACAGGACTGGGGCGATCCCCCAAAAAAACCAAATCATGAGTACGAATAGTCAAAATAAAATACCCCAGGAGGGTACGGCGTTACGCCGGGAATCCCTCCCTACTACGGTAGGCTGCCCCACGGATTCTGGGGGGGGCAACCATTCGTTAAGTATACGAGAAGATCAAATAAGAAGAGCGTCGACGACAACAATTGATCTGGCCTGGGATGAAACCAGAAACAGGTCGGTTGAGGCAGCGCGGCACGACACATTTCAGCAGAAGACCCCGGCACGTAAACGAAAGGTGCACGATACGTCGATGCAAATCGAACAAGAAGGGCGGAAGAAGAGGGAGAGTCCAGAGTACTTTCTGCTCAGAGAAACAATCGACATGGTAGTCCAACTAGGAAAGGAACTAGAGAAGGGAATTGAACAAAATACAAAACGAGAAATAAAGGAGATATCAAGGAAAATGCGAAAGCAGGTTAACACTTTTGAAAAGTCGGACATCCTGAAATGGCTTGCGCAGTTTCGATATGAACAGGACGACGGACCGCTTACGCTGGACATGGACACACAGACAAGCCCGAAAAGAAATCTCCTGGGCGTGCATGGGAAACAAACGGCGGCAGAATTGGGACAAAAGAAGTGCCCCACATGCAAGAGGGCCTTTGCTCAAGTAGATAGTGGCACCCAGACCAAGGCGTGGTCAAATGGTAAAGAGACAATTTGCAGCTCTCTAGGGGGCGTGGACAATTACAAAGACTGGTCGGAGATAGCGAAGATGGGGTGGGATGAAGCGCTATACAAGAACAGCGAGGTGGTGCAGGGAAACCCGCTACACACGAAGGCCACCACAGTAAAAGTGGTCCTAATTGAGCCCACGGACATAAAAATGGAGAGGGGTATCCAGCTAATATATAGGCAGAGATACCCTGAACTTGGAGATGCCACCGAAGATTTCGCGGTTCTCGAACAGAGCTCGAGATGGCGCCGGCCGGGAGCGACTGCAGCGAGCCAGAAAGTGGTGCGCATAGTGCAGGGCCAAGAAGAGGCGGATTTATGGAACAGGCTTGCCTTCCTTAAGAAGGAGACGGTGGAGGACGAGTGGGTTGCTATCCACTCTGTCGAACGGTGCTCCATTGAGCGGCTTAGGAAGATGGTGGAAGCCATCTTCCACGGTGGCAACACAAATGTGGCCATCTACACCAGCCAGAAACGTGCGACGTCGCAGCAGACAACGAGGGAGAGGGCTCCGGCACTCATAGTTAACACCGAGGGCCGGTCATACAGCGACGTCCTGGGTGAATTAAAGGCTAAGCTAAAAGACAAGGAAGCAGCCGAAATAATAAAGACAATCAAGAGGACGAAAAACGACAACGTCATAATAGTAACGGAGAGGGGCAAAGCACGCATCCAAGCACTAAAGAAAGCGATCGAAGGGGAGGATGCAAAGCTGAGGGTCAGGGACACGACCAAAGAAATGGAAGCGGTGCACATCAGAGGGCTGGACAGCACGACCACCCGAGAGGATGTAACCGCCGAGCTGCGAACGGTATTGGGAAGTCTTGACGATGCGGACGTTAAAATCAGCGAACTAAGGCCAAACGCGGGCAGCACACAAGCTCTGACAATCAGGCTTGAAAAGGCAAAAGCGGAGCAACTGCTGCAGAGGCCTTACCTACAGGTGGGGCTCTCCCGTGCCCGTATGGAGAGGAGGTTTGACGTGCCCAGGTGCTGGAGGTGCTGGGAGTACAGCCACACGGAGGCAGACTGTGCGGGACCGGATAGGAGAAAACTCTGCTTCCGGTGTGGAAAGGAGGGACATGCCGCTAAGGGATGCAACGACAAGACAGTGTGTCTAGTCTGTAACTCCGGGCACCTGCTGGGCACGTCGAGCTGCGCCTCCTTCCGAAGAGCACTCTCACAACTGCGAAGAGGAAAATCGCAAACAAACACACACACCCAGAGTGCAGCGCCCATCGGGCCTTTCCTGCCACCGACCCTCGCACCCACTGCAAAGGCGGTTAGCGGGAACCTTGAGTAGCAAGGCTGCGTCAAAGCTACCAAAAACACACAAAACACATAAATGGCCAGCACAATAACAATCCTACAAATCAACCTAAATAGGTGCAGGATCGCGCACGACCTGATGGAGCGCACAATTGCCGAAAAAAACATAATCGTAACATTAGGCCAGGAACCATATGGAAAAGGCCGGACCGATTTCCACGATGTGAAAGGAGATAGCTTCATAAACGTGGACAATGAGCATGAGGTCATTAAGAGTGGAAGTGGAGAGGGCTTTGTCTATGTGGAGCTGAGCACCTGCATTTTCCTCTCGTGCTACTTCTCCCCAAACGGAGAGCTGGCGGATTTCGAAAGACTGCTCCAAAACATCGAAAGCATGATTAGGCACCAGGGGAAACACGTCGTGATGGGAGGAGACCTGAATGCCAAAACCAACATAATTGGGTCCCAAACCACCAACCAGCGTGGCGCGATACTGCAGGAATGGATACTGGCCAACGGACTGGTCATCCTGAATGAAGGGGATACCCCGACCTTCCAAAATGCCAACGGCACCTCTATCATAGATTTCACCGCGGCAACAGAACAACTCGGTCGGAGAGTTGACAAATGGAGGGTCGAGCCAGACATTGAAAACTTCGGCGATCACAACAACATCTACTTTGAAGTAAGCTGCAAACCTGGTGAAAACACGACTAGACCGAGCCAGGCAGGATGGACCATCAAACCCGCTGCGATTACGGAGCTGGCTGCCGCATGGAAAACCAGTCATCAAACCAAGCGAGGACAATACAATACAATACGAACCCTTACCAGCGATATCGTAAAGCTGCTGGACAAGTATGGCCACAAGAAGTCAAGCAGTTCGGGCCGCCCCCCAGTGTACTGGTGGAATGCTGATATAGCAAACCTTAGACGTGCTTGCTCAACCTCCAGGAGAAAACTGACGCGAGCGCGCAAAAGCCTCAGAACTTACCAGCAAGTCCATGAGCTCACGGAGGAACACAAACACAACAACTTAGCAACCCAAACTGCGTTAAGTGCATTTTAGGTAGCAGAAAAGAAGGCAAAAAAGAGGGAATGTTACAACCGATTCCTAAATTAGAAGAGCCTTTGCACACCTATCACATTGATCATTTAGGACCGTTGCCTAGTACGAACAAAAATTACAGACATATTTTTGTAGTGATTGATGACTTTTCAAAATTTGTGTGGCTTTATAGCACTAAGTCCACTACATGAAAGGAAGTGATAATCTGTCTTACTAAACAGCAAGCTGTATTTGGAAATCCTTACCGGATTATTAACGATCGAGGTACTGCATTTACTTCTGGAGAATTTAGTGATTTTTGCAAGGAAGAGGGCATAAAGCATGTTCTAGTTACTACTGGGATGCCTAGATGCAATGGGCAAGTCGAAAGGATAAATCGCATAATTATCCCGGTGTTGACAAAATTAAGCATTGAAAGTCCTACACATTGGTACAAACACTTACCGAAAGTACAGAAAGCCCTAAGCTGTACTTATCAGAGAAGTATAGACTCTACACCATTTGAGGTGCTAATGGAAAATAAAATAAGAAACAAGGAGGACACGCGAATATCAGAACTGTTATCGCAAGCTGCTGTCGCCGAATTCAATCAGGATAGAGAGCAACTAAGGCAGGAAAGCAAAAAGCAAATTC